GACAATAAATCAACGATTGCATTGACAAAGAATCCAGTCTTTCATGGTCGTAGCAAACATATTGATATCAAGTATCACTACATTCGCGACTTGATTAGAGATGGAGAAATTATGGTAGAATATTGCAATACAGAAAATCTAGTTGCAGATATCTTCACAAAGTCACTCAAAGTAAATTTGTTCTTGAAATTAAAGAATATGTTTGGGATGATTAAGTCAAGTTTAAGGGAGGATGTTAGAAATTAAACTTGAAGACAAATCCAAATTAAATAATACATTATTAAGAAGACAAATTCAAGTTAAACTTTTCTTCATTTTGAAAGAAGATAAATCCAAATTGAACTCTTCAACATTATAAAAGAAGAGAAATTCAATTTGAAGTTACTTTACTTAATTATTAAGCAAGACGGCCTCCTCCAAACTCTATAAATAGGAGATGCTATAATTGTGAAATAGTTTATTACTTAGCTTTTGTTGTGAGAGATTTGTGTTTGAGAGAAACTTTAGCGAGTTTTTTTATAATTTTTTAGTGTATAATTGACTATTACCAAAGTCAAAGTTCTATTAAGTGTATTGATTTTTTAATAAAAAAATATTTTTTGAGTATTTATTTGTCACATTAACCATATTTCAACTCGGCAATTTATTTCCATTGTCAACCTAAATTATATATAAATCACAAGGCCTACGTGCAATAAAAAATATCCACGTTCTATTAGTAATTTGAGTTAGTTATATTGTTAGTTAATATAAAAATTTCTTAACATCGATTATAAACGATAATTTATATTGGTTAAATAACTAAAAGTAAGCAAGCAAGCATTTAAGAAAGAAAAGAGAAAGATTGATATGCCATTAGACAAATTATAAAGTCATGTAGAATAATATTGTAATATACACCGAATTATAAAAGATTGCTACGTTAGACGGATGTTCCTAAATTGGAATATGATTAATATTGGATAATGACATTTCAAAAAATGCTAATAAAAGCTAGAAAATCTAACCAAAGGTTTGTCTTCTTCAATATATATATATATATATATATATATATATATATATATATATATATATATATATAATTTTACTTATGCTCTAAAATTTTATATTTTAAATTATTTTTACATTAATTATAAAAAAAATTGATTTAAAAAGTAATATTTTAGATAATTTCAAAAATAATTAATCTAAAAAGTTATATTTAAATTATTTTTTTATCGGTCACAGAAGAATCAATATAAAATATACTTTATACATTGATTATTTATTATTTAGTAATGGATCTAAAAATTTTATAACTTTACTCAAATTCTACACTTCCTAACATTTGTATTTTTAAACTTTAAAATTGTATAACTTTTACACATAATTCTAATTTATGCAAATTATATTTTTATTATACATAACTTATTGAGATATATTCAACTAAATTTGAGGTTTGGAGCAAAATATTTTTAAAAATTATATTGTTTTGCTCATTTTTTCAATTTGTTTGTATTTCTTAGTGTTTTTTTAGGTTAAGTTTTTATGCTTAATCATTTTCGTAAGAAATAAATGCATTATGATATTTTATGTACCGCTGACCTTATATTAATCAAGAATTATTTGATGTATTTTTTTATTATTCAAAAATTAATCCATTTAAAAAAAGACGTGAAAAGTACTTTTCCATCATGTAAAAAGTATTTACATTAATTATTTTAGCACCTAATTTTAAAATATTTTATTTTATTTTTAAAAAATGTACTGCTTATAAAAAATTATAAATATACAAACATTAACCTCTTTTTTCAAAATATATGATAAAATTAACCATAAGTAAATTTATAGAATAATTTATAGTTCTAACTTGTAATTTATTTATTTTTACATATTTTTAAATTATAAAGACACATGTACAAACATTATTTTAGTCTTGTGTAATGTAAATATATTAAACAAATGAAACATATAATTTTAATTAATTAAAATTCTATTAACGAAGAAATATTTCTTAACTTAATAACTAATAATATAACTTGTACAATATTGACATATGATTTAAGTTATCTATAGATGAATATAAGTCATAAGTGTTTATCTCTCAGGTATCTACCAGAGACAGTCATGTTTTAATAGGTATAATTATTAGAGATAGCAATTAGCAAAGCTGTTTTTTTAAAAATTTAACACAATTGCATTCATTAAAATTTAAACTATATACTACAAGTTAAATTAGAATAACTCTATACCAGTTCATCCACATGTTTGGTGGTATAATTACATTTTTTTAAATTTGTGTAATGTGAATATTTTAAATAAAATTATTAAATTATTTTAATTTAATTTTAGTCTATACAATGGTTTATAACATGAATTTGTGGTCTTTCTCCGCCTTCAAAATGTTATTAATCATAAAGAATCACGTATAATCATTGCTATCTTATGACATATGTGTTGTAAATTTATCTATTTTAAAAATTACTCTTCTTAACTGGTCTCGTAAACCCTATAACTATATGTGAGTATGTGACTTTGTTTTACTTATTGCAATCGAAAATAAGTTTTTAAATACATTTTTTCTTTTACTTTAAATCTAAATGAATGTATGTCTTGAATAAATGTTCCTCTTTCAAAAAAAATTATTGAACCGCAGAAAAAAATTATCCAGGAGGGTTTTTAACGTAGAAAAAAATTGCAGCAAAATCTGTAAATAACGTATATTTCTGTGAATTTTTAGTAAACTTTTTGCTGGAAATTCCGTAGAACAAAACTTGACTTGTAGTAGTGAACGCATAAAGAGTGTTATGATTCAATTTTAACCCTTTCCAATATACTATTTACTTCCACATCTAACCTGATTTCTTTAAGTTTCAAGAGGGTTTTTTAAATTATTTTTACCAGAAATTATTTTGGTCAATACTAGAACGCGTTAGACACTTCATTACAAGCTGTAGTTTAACTTCAACGTTTTAGTATACGTTATATTATTACAATGTCTAGTCTGTATACAGATTACAAATCATGTTAACTATAAAAAATTCTAACCTTTTCTTTTTGGTTTGCAATATTCAAATAACTCGAAGCGTACCTTCCAGAGTCCCACGAATAACTTTTGCATAAATCAACAGACACACATTCAATATAATATTTCTTTAAAATTATGACTTTGTAGGAATTTTACACATTGCTATAAATTAATCGCTACAATAGGTTTTGTTGTATGCAAATGGGTTCTTCGGGAAACAAATTAATGATATGAATGTAAAAGAAAGCCAATCGAATGATTACACCCAAGAAAAAGAAGAAGATAAGATTTAGATGTTTCTTGATAAAGATTAAAATTTCACTTCAATGATTTATAATAATATTAAATATATATTTTTATTAATAGAATTCTAATTTTAATTAATAAATAGAATAAACAGGACTAAAAATTAACAAAAAGTATTATCCAAAATAACTAACTTAGAACTACTGCATATAGAGGACCAGATGGTCTATAGTTCTATCAGGAATATCATTCTCTCTTTATTTTATTCTCTCTAATTTCTTTTCCTTTATTTTCATTTTTATCCAAATAGAATGATGAAGTTTATTTTTAAAACAATTTAAAGTAAAACTTGTGTCATTAAAGAAAGAAACTCTATTTATTTAATAAATAACTTTGAAAGTAACCAAAGTCTGATATAAATTAGATTATAAGTTTCCAACAACTAGGATAACTTGTTTTTCAAAAGTCTTGTGTTACAACAAATCATCGCTGGAACCACGATTCAGAAACCTACTTTCATCTTTCAAAAATTCATCTTATGTCAGAACAAAACTCATTGCCGCAACCACGATTCAAGTCATGAGGTTTAACTTTATTCCCTGCCCGTTCTCACACTCCCATTAACCTGTTTTTGTGGTTTTCATAGTGCTAATTTAAAAAGTGAGTTCCTCTTCGTTAAAGGGCATGCTCTTGTTGCATGTGAAAATCTGTATTGTAAAAGTGCTTCTGTATAAACGAAGAAGTACTTAAACTTTGCTAAAGTAGTGCTTCATTAAAAAGCATTTTATACAATATAATCTGTGGCCTAAGGGGTAGATGAGAGGTGTATGCATCATGATTCAAATATAACATCCCACTCAAGCTTAAAATACTTGGGCTGATACCAAAATTGTTCTACGAGCTCATTAGATCTTAAATCACTAATATTGGGTTAAAATTATTCGCATGGGGTTAATGGTAGACAAAAATATATCACAAATTTTCTGCAGTTCTATTTTTTTTTGCTATTTCTTCTTCCTCATGCTTGGTAGCGTAAGTTTTCATGCCTCCCTGCTCTTTGTTCAAATAATATATATAGGGTGCATCAAGAGTCAGTAACAAAATTTTGTCATTGGCTTCCCAACAGTATATAATTCATAATGGTCAGTTAATAATAACATTATATTATAAGTTTTTTTTCTCATGAACACATTGTTCAAATTGCTGTCCTATCCATGAACGATGGAAGGGGTAATATTTACAGTGGGTTTGAGTTAGTAAGGTAACCAATAGCCATTTATGATTATTATCTGGTTAATCTAACACTAGAGTTAACGTTGGCACAGAGTAAGTGTGGGATTATGTGTAGATTTTAAGAATTTACTGGATATTGTTCTGACAAACCTTGTCAGAAATGAGTGCACTTTACTCAAATTTATTAAGTTGAGGCATTATTCAAGATGATGATTTTTAAATTAGCTTTGTATGGCTTGACTTTCATCATGAGCTAGTTATATATAGGTACCTACTTTTGTTTTTTTTTTTTTTCATCCCGTGCTGCACAGGGTATATTCTATTACATTACATTATATTATATATATAGGAATGAAATTATTTATGCAGTCAATAAATATATAAATAAACAATTAATTATTGTAGGGGAAAACAACGTATTTAATTAAGTATACGTGTATAAAAAGACTAAGAAAGAATATTTATAGCAAAAACCATCAACAAATTAAGGAAAGAGAAGGCCAAAATTTTGAAGATGCAGAAAAGGGAGAGGCACACTTTGGTGGTCCTTGTCTTATTCTTTGTCTCACTGATCCATTGTGTTAATGGGAAGCACTTTGTGCTGGTCCATGGAGCCCTTCATGGTGCATGGTGTTGGTACAAGGTGGCTAATCAGCTTAAATTAGCTGGTCATAATGTCACAACTCTAGACATGGCTGCTTCTGGCATCAATCCAAAGCAAGTGCAAGAGATTCATTCGGTTTCAGAGTACCATGAACCCTTGATGAAATTCATTGGCTCTCTTCCTCCAAAGGAAAAGGTGATTTTGGTGGGTCATAGTCTTGGTGGGCTATCTGTGTCTATTGCTATGGAAAAGTACCCTCAGAAAATCTCTGTTGCAGTTTTTGTCACTGCAACCGTTGTCTCTCAAAACCTTAATTACCCAGCTTTTCTTAAAGAGGTATTTTTCTCACTAGTCACATATTTACAGCCAATTAGTATACACATTAGGTGCAAGCTTGTAGCTTTGGACAAGCAGTTGATTAGTTTAATTTTGAATACATTAGCAAACTAACTTTAACCCTATTTAATTTAAATTGTGCTGGTGAATTTTTGAGGAATTTTTGTTTCAATTGTGTAGCAAACGAGAAGATTGGGCTCCATTTTCAGCAAACAATATTTCATATCGAATGGGGCCAACAATGCTCCCATCCTCTCATCACTTGGAGTCGAATTCTTAGCATCCAGATTTTGCCAATTATCACCACCTGAGGTAATTATATTTTCAAATGAATTTCAATCCACAGCTTTCCTATACTATATATTTTGATTTTAATTCAACATGGCATATATAATCACACAAATGATATATATATTTAGATTTAAATGTTAGAAATAATACTTAAAAAATTTACAGGAATTACAAAGAAAAAGGGTTGTGAATTAGCATATATTAAGGGTCATGGTCCCTTAATTGGGGATAATAATTCTTAATATGTTACCATAATGCATTTAGTATTATAATAGAGAAATTGTTTTAAGATAAGTTAAGGTCACTCTATAAATAGAGAGTCACTCTCAGGTCCAGCCTAGGCTTAAGTATAAAAATTATCTTCTCATACATTTTTCCTCTTTAGTCCAACACTAAATAGAAAATATAATGTGAAAAAACTAACCAACGATAAGTTGGTTAACATATGCACTTGTTTTAATTTTTTTAAAACTTTACTATGAATATATGTACAACAGTGTTTCCCAGGATTCAAAATGTATTATACTTATTACTGAAACAATTAAACGCAGGATTTGACGCTTGCTGTATCTCTGGTGAGACCCTTACCTCCTTTTACAAGTAATCTTAAATTATTGTCAAAACAAACAGCAGTTACCAACAAGAAGAATGGAAGGGTATCTAAAGTCTACATCATCGGTGACAAAGACGATTTGCTAAATGAAGATTTTCAAAAGTGGATAATTGAGAAAACAGGTCCATATGCTGAGGTGAAAGTGGTAAAGGGTTCAGATCATATGGTGATGTTCTCCAAACCAAAGGAACTTAGCTTTGAACTATTAGAGATTGCCTACAAATATTAATCTTTAAATGTTAATGTACCGTGCATCATAAAAACATAAAATGCTTATTATATATGTTAATATTTTCATGTTTATTATTCTTTTCAGTGTTAAAACACCAGAATATGGACTTTAATTAAGTCTTGTTATGTTTTATATACAAGGTTTGAATTTTTAATTGTATTAGATGTCAAATTTTCATTGTAAGAACAATTGCAAGTGGAATGTTAGCAATTGATTCCTTTTTTTTTATATACATGAAAGTTTAGGTGTGTTGGGTCCTACAGACAACAAGGTACATGTCTTAAAAGCTCAAAGAACACTTACAAAGATACTTTAAAACAACTAAACCCTTAACAATATTTTATAATATTATTTTTAGTACATAGTTGAAAGACTGGATCGTACATAATTTTAAGAAAATGTTCTTTTAATAAGGAAAACTTGGACAAATTAAATAAATTTTTTAACAGCTAGTTAATAAAGAATAAAATTCACAAATGTAACGAACCATATCAAGTAATAAACAATAAATATTAGTATCGTGGTCCATAAAACAAAATTCAACTACTTGTTACAAAAAATAATCACTATTTAAACTTAATTTTAAAGTGATGCTCACAATTATTAAAAGAAGAAAAAAAGATTAGAACAAAGTAAAACAAAAAACCAAAAATCAATAATATAAGAGTTTACATAATAGAAAAATGGCTACAATGTATATAATCTGTAACTGGTCGATGACAAATCATGATTTAATTAGTGGACATTCCAATCTTTGTTTCCTGGTATACTACATTGGGAAAAAAATTAAGATTATCTTTCAAAATTGTAAAGATAATTTTTTGCATAAATAAACATGCACTCTACTGCATTAAAGATAATTCATATGACATTATGTACGCTAAACAACTTTGTCAAGTCGTATTTTGAATATTTATAAAATATGAATAATTCATGAGTTTAATTTATGAAATATATTTTTAAAATATTTTATACTCTATTTTATTTGCAAATTATTGTGTTATATATATATATATAAGCTTTTATGAAAGAATATTAAATATTAATACATTTTTTATTTTATTTTATTAATTTATTTATTTCAATGTTGTTTATAGTTATAACTATTAGACGTTTTTAAAATTTATTTACTTCCATCAAAACCTGATTTATTTCATTTCAGTAGAGGAATCGCAGTCTTATTTTTTACACACAATTCTGAAACCTTATTTCAGGAGAAACGCTATTTCTTCACAAAATTTTTATAATTATTTTTACAACTTAAAAAAATATTAAAAAAAAAATATAACATGTGAAATGTGATGAAATAAATAAATAAATTGTTATAAAAATTCACAGTAAAATCATTATAAACCTTATTTCAAAGTAACTGGCACTAGCATGGAGCAATACCATGTTACTTTTTAGTTTTGTTATTGGATGCCTTTAGTGGATATAACTTAATAAATAAAAATAATATTTTTGATTTATTATTAAATGTTCTTAATTATTTAAAAAATATTATTCACTTTTAAGTTTTTTTAAAAATATGTTACTTCTTATTTACAGGTACGGGTGCAAGCTTAGAATTTATTCATATCCATGTAATATATTTTTTTATATACTTAGAATTTAAACATGAATTTTTTAAACAATTTCTAAGTAGAGTTGAAAAAGGTTTAATACTTTATAAATAGAAATTAAATTATTTTAAATATTTAAATAACATATTTATTTTATTTATTACTTTTTCTATTAGTTTTTCATCTTTAATTTTAATATCAGTTACATTTATATTTTATTAGTTGGTCAACCAAAGACATATAAAGAGATCATATTCAAGATAACATATCTTACACGTTATTTCCGTGTTTACATTTTATTCATTCTTCATATATTTTTAAAGAGTTTAATTTTAATACAATATTATTATAAAAAAATTACACTACTAATAAATTTAAAAAAATATTATAAAGATAACTTTTAAAATTAATATTATAAAATTTATAATTGTGAAATTTATTACTTTTTAACTATATAATCATTTATAATTAAAAGAATATATAAAAAATATTTACACTAAGATTTATTTCAATTAATTTCCTTTCTAAATCTGACCTTGAAAGACGTTTAGGGATAAATATATTATAATCGACAAAATCATGTGGGGAGCACACCAATCACCTTTCGTGTTTTAAAATTTAATATTTTCCATATAATATTTTTTAAATAAATGATGACACAAGTAAAGTTTTCTCGTGAATATTAAATAAGTAAAGTGTTTCTTTTTTCTAGGGATGTGCTTTAGGGATAAATACTATAAATAAAGTAAATAAAAATAAATTGTATTTTATATTAATTTTAGTAGTTTATGTAACAGGATTATTACATTATCCTTAAAGATAAAACACTTTTCTATGGGAGAAAATTGAATAAAAATTTTAAAAACCTATCCTACACTGAAATATCCTTAATTATATATCTTATCTGACAGTTTATAATTAATATAAAAGAATCAACCTGTCAGAAAACGTAGGCCATTGTTATTTATTTATTTATTTCCAATTTATTAATTATAAGATTATTCTTTTCAAACGTGACACAACAAAAAATTAATATATGATAACCTTTATATTATTTTTTTATTAAAAATATTTTATTAATTACATCATTACTACTCACTAAAGAACAAAATTGTTTAATTTAAAAAATTAAAATATTAAAATCAAAATCATCAAAATATAAAGATTAAAAATATATTTAAATTAATTCTAAATATTTTACACACTTATTGTAAATAAGAGAATAATAATAATAATAATAATAAATGTCATATTAAAAATTATAAATAAAAATATTAATCATATTTTTTAGTTTGTACATGTATTATCTTCATGAGTGGGCAAATAAAAATAAATTAGAGAGTAATTTATTGAATGAAAACAATTTTGAAAACTACGGTGCATTGAATACATCTTAAATTCCCAAATATTACCTTTCAGATTTTTATATATGTCACACTAACGCTTTTATAAGACAATTAAAGAATAAGTTTATTTAGTTTTTTTTTATTCAAATTAGCATTTGATTTCCATTATAACATTTTTATTATTATCTACTTATTATATTATTCATTTAAATAAAAGAAATAAATTGCACAATTTAAAATCATCTTTTTAACTTTTTTCCTCAAAACAGGTAAAATGAAAAAGATTTATATTGTGTACAAGTAATAATTATGCATATAGTCTTTTAAAAATGAGTTTAGCATAAGAGATTAGATCTCAAAATTTGAGAGGAAATGTAGAAAATGGATGATAAAATTTTCTAATTGACTATTAATAAATGGGAACACTATTTTATGTGTTTTAAAATGTGGTATTGATATGTTAAATATATAATGTTCTTTGTATAAATTGTGACAACCGATTCGCTAATGAAAAATAATTTTATATTGAGTAAATAATATATCAATGGATATGAACATGGCTAACTACAACATATATACGGTAGATTAATTATTCCGGGCATTCAATAATGATAATTTTTTTCTTTACCATTTCGAGAGACACTATTTAAGTGTCTTTTTTTTGTTTTTATAACTGAGATATACTTTTAAAATATATTTATACAAAAAGATTCAAAATAAATAAGAAATAAAATAATTATATATAATATCATAGAAAATGTTAATTTTTAGTAATACAATTAATGGAATTCACATTTAAATACGAACTAGTGAGATTATTATACAATATACGAGTATTATTAAATTATGATAATTTTTAAAAATAAAAAAGTAAAGATGTACAGTATTATTATTTTTAAATTTTGTATATAAATTTCAAAAATAACAAATATTCTACTATATTAATTAGATTGAAATAAAGAAATGAATTTTTTTAATTAACAAAATATGAAAAAATAAAATAAAATAAAATAACATTGAGTTTAAAAATAAGTTAAAAAAAAAAAAAGTGGCATGACACAACGAGAAATTAAACTAACTTCTAAAAACATTTTTATTTAAGATCATTCTTAAAATAATTTCTTAAGAATTAAAGTTAAAAAATTCCGACTTAATTTTAATATTAAATTTGTAATTTTATTTTATTAATTTGTGAAAAATTCATTAAAAGTAAGACATATATTATTTAAATAACGTTTGAATAATAGATTTAAATATGAGTAATACATACTTAGAGAACGCATGAAGATAACACAAGATGCCACTCAAGTTTAAAATACTTAAGCCGATATTAAAATTGTGCTACAAACTCATCCTGAGACCTTAAGTCATTAACACTGAATTGTTATCACTAAAGTCTAAATGAAATGAAATGCTAAAATATAAATCGAACAATAAGTCTAAATTGATTCTTCACCTAAACACAATCATTAAACTTTAATTAAAATATATTATTATCTGTATTTTCTTTTCTATAGGTTCACGTTTTTCTCATTATATTTTTTGGTCAAAGCTTACCTAATTCTCTATTTTATCATTGTGATGTGTCACTGCCATTTTCCTAATATGAACATTCAGTGGGTTAGCTTTTCTTCTAATATTGCCAAGTCTAATGAGCCATCTGGCTGCATATATAAATTTTTGTTTCCTTCAATGTAATGGATATTATAAAGTTGAATTAAGCTTGGTTGGTGTTGGGTCAAATCTAAATCATAAACAAATTCCAAGTCTCAATGAAATGCCCCTTAATTATAGTTATTGTATTTAGATGATATCTTTAATTTTACTTTATTTTTGCATATAATGCTAAAATACTCCGATTACAAAATAAGGTAGAGTATATTCTTAAGTATCAAATGAGAACATTTTTTAAAGTGAGAATAAATTTCAACTATCAAATTATATCATGAATTGTAAAAATTAAAATATAAAAGTCATGTAAATTTTTTCAGAAATTATATAACTTTTTTAAGTGATTATACTCTTAAAAGTAACTTGATCTTCTCCCTAAGTACAATATTGTAAACAAATATTATTTATGAAGTTTAAA